AAGAATTTAATTTTCACGTTAAATGATTTTGAGTTTTCCCAAAAATCACGAAATTATTCAGAAGGAGTTTCCAAATCACCCCGATCGCAAAAATAAGATCAACAAAGCAGGGTGGGTCATCAAAGTAGGGGTCAATTTGACTGAGTAAGAGAGGGTAGGGGTAGATATCCCCCCGGTTGGGACTAAATGCGTGGCAAGGGGAGTGAGCGAGTGAGCGAGCGAGGGGAGGGAGGGAGGGAGGGAGGGAGGGGAGGGGAGGGAGGGAGACGGAGGGAGGGAGGGAGGGAGGGAGGGAGGGAGGGAGGGAGGGAGGGAGGGAGGGAGGAAGGGAGGGAGGGAGGGAGGGAGATTCTTGTCCCTACTTTGCTGTTTCATAGGATGTGATGATATATTGCAGGATCTTCCAAGAAGCGAAAGAACCATCGAGCATCGAACAAGTTCTAGAACGAGCGAGGAAGAGGAGGAAGGGGTTGCAATGGACGGAGGAGGAGCAAGGGGTGGAAAGAGGAAGGAAACAAATAGATCGTGTTGTTCTTTAGCTTCATTCATACAAAGTCGTATATACAAGAGCGCCTCCTCCCCCTCCTCTTGCCCCCTTTGCCTCCTCTTTTCCCTGCTCCTCCTACTCTTCTCCTTCCGTATTGCCCTGCTCTCTCTCTCTCTCTCTCTCTCTCTCTCTCTCTCTCTCTCTCTCTCCCTACCTCCCTCCACCTCCTCCTCACTTGGCCCCCTTTGTCTTCACTCGGGTTTTGGAGGCCCCCCTGCTTCCTCCTCGCTTGCCGCCGCCTGGACTCTTCCCTGGCCGTTTCCTGCCCTTCGAGCGACTCCGGGGGGGGGGACTTGTCAAGGAGGAGGACGGAGATCGCGACTCTGCCCTCCTCTTCGTCTTCACCTGCCTGCTCCTTCCGCGGGAGTCCAACGACTTCGCCTTGCTCATCCATGCGAGCTTCCGCTGGGAAAAGGTGAGGTTGTGAGGAGGGAGAGAGAAGGGGAGAGAGATTGAGAGAAGGCAAGAATGAGGGAAAGGGCGAAAACGATGATGATGATGATGCTTGTTACAATGACAATGACAATGACAATGACAATGACAATGATGATGTTGACAATGTTGATCATGATCATGATGATGATGATGATGATGTAGATGATGATGATGATGATGATGAGGGGGAGGATGCTCGTGACGATGATGATGATGTAGATGACAATGATGAGACCATGGCGGTGATGGTGGTAATGATGATGACGACGATGATGGTGATAGCGCAGAACAAGGATAGGAGGAGTGACCCATGGGAGGTAAGTATTCACTGCTCACCTCATTGAGCCATATTGCACAGCGGAAGAACAAGAGGACGGTTAAGACTAGGAGGGGGTAAAATATGATGCTTATGTTTCGACGATAATCGAGGAAGAAGTAGAACCTGCAACACTTTTCACCACTACCTTCTCCTCCTCCTCCTCCTCCTCCTCCTCCTCCTCCTCCTCCTCCTCCTCCTGCCCTCCCCCTGCCCTCCTCCTGCCCTCCTCCTGCCCTCCTCCTGCCCCTCCTCTGCTCTTGCCGAGCATCGTCATTTTCATCCAAATCACTGTTTTTCCTCACCCTCTCCCTCCCCCCCTCTCGCACCCCCTCCTCCCTCCTCACCAAACGCCGAAGAGGGAGTGAAAGACAGTGGCGAATTCGACGTAGGCGCAGCCAAACAGAAGGATGAAGGGTCTGTGAGCGCGCTCAATGCTGATCTTATTGAGGGAGAACTCCTGTGGACAGCATAAGCCACGAACAAGGAGCGAGGGAAGGATGAAGAGGATGGGGTGAGAGTAGGAGGATGAAGAGGAGGGGGTAAAGAGAGGGAGGATGAAGAGGAGGGGGTAAAGAGAGGGAGGATGAAGAGGAGGGGGTAAGAGAGGATGCAAGACAAAGGATGATGGAAAGACACAGCTGGTAGAAATGAACATAGCGAGGCAGAAGAAGAGAGGTGGAGTTGGAGGTGGAAACAAAGGCGAATGAGGTGGGCAAGGACAAAAGGAATAGTGAAAGAACAAGGGGCAGGAAGAGGATCAGAAAGGAGATCGGAAAGAGAAGGAAGAGGAAGGGAGAAAAGGAAGAAGAGGAAAACTACCAGGAGCATGAACACAAGGTTCAGGCAGTGGAAGCTGAGGCCCGAGAAAGAGTAGAGCACGCGCTGCATCTGCAGCAGCCAAGAACCAAACCCGTCAAGTTGAGCACCTCGGCCCGTTACCTTCTGCTCCCTGCTCCCTGCTCCCTTCTCCCTTCTCCCTTCTCCCTGCTCCCTGCTCCCTGCTCCCTGCTCCCTGCTCCCTGCTCTTCTCTCACTCACAAGCTGATGAGTCTCGATGTTCCTGCTCCTCCCGTCCTCGACTGCCTTGTTAAGGTAGGGCACCAGCACCTGCTCACTCGTCACCCCCCACAGAAGCAGCCGGTCGGCCATCTTACCAGCCACACGACCACCGTGACCAAGATCGCCATGGGGAACATGATCTCATACAGCACCTGGATGAGGCGAGCTCAGCGCGGCGCTGGGTTGACATCTGCTTTCACCCATAGCGTCTGTTGGAGCCAGCTCCTTCTCCCCAGGTTGACGAACGGAGCGAGCCCGATGATGAAGAAGTAGATGCCCTGACGACAACTGTCAGACGACCCTCTCCTCGTTTCACCTTTCCTTGTCTCTCTTCCCCTCCCCTCCCTTCCCCTCCCTTTCTCCTAAATCCTCTCCTCTTCATCTATTTTGATACTACATCCTCTCTCTCCCTCTCTTCCTCCCCTCCACTTCACCTGACCGACCCAGCTCCAAATAGTGAAGGTTGCGAATAACCAGATGCCACCGTAAGGGACGCAATGTTTCCCCTCATCCACAACTGATCGAGCTGATCAGAAGTAGCTACTTTCAAGGTGATCTCGTTCAAACCGTTGCAGAACTTGTTGTCAGCAGGCCCCATTAAACATCTCTGAGCAGACGAGGTGAGTTGAGGGGAGGGAGGGGAGGGGGGAGGGAGGGGAGGAAGAAGAGAAAAGAAGACGAGGCAAGAGGAAGGGTGAGTTGGAGAGTGAGCGAGAAGATGGGTGGGTGGGACAAGCAAGTATAGGCTGCACAAAGGATCAAGGAAGGAGGATCAGCCCCTCGTGAGATGCACGAAAGGTTCTACAGTTCGTCCTCACATGTGCGATGAGTCCGAGCTCAAAGATCCCAATCGCAAGTCTCAGCAGCCCCAGAGAAGTTCCTGCCAGCCAGGATCATAACATTGCAGCCTTGGCGCGGCCAAGCCAACGGGTGAGGAAAGGAGAGTCGAGCAGTTCGTCCTGCGCCGACCATGTCAACAAATTTCTTATCTTGCATGACAACACACTTGGGAAATCTGTGAAAGTCGGAGAGTCTTCTTCCGCACACCCCTTGATATCGCCAGCAACCTGGTAGGATCTTAGTCAGACGTTCGGATGTACAACTTGCCACTCACTCGTGGACTACAATGCCCAGCACAATGCTTTGCACGACGTAGAAGCGCAGCATTGTGTTTTGTCTTGCTCCGACGGAGGCGTGGGAGGGCTACAGTCTGGTGCTGCTAAAGTCTGCGGTGAGTTCAAAGCGCTGAGTGGACGACGTTCATAACTGGTTTCATCTCATGAGTTACTAATCATCCCTCATGCACAAGTCCTCAGACATACAAGAAGACAGAGATAAGTTAAGGCTATATCTTTTGACTATCGTCATGACAACAGGATTCTCGTAACGACGGAAGATGCAGAGATGCATTGTCTACATGGCCTGAACCTAGGCTGCGTTCCAAAAGTCCTCAGAGCAGACGGCCGAGGGCAAACATTGCGTACAAGATGAAGGAGGATGTATCGGTCATCAGCAACGCATCTTTCATGCCACAACCCTGTTCTATCCTCTCCTCGTTTCGCATCTCCTCATCGCCGCGTCCATGGTATGCAATTCTTGCAGTACTGCGGATCCATTTTGGAGGCGAGGGAGAGATCTCGAGGGGTTAGTACCCTACCCTCTAATTTCCTCTCGTAGACTAAGCTCACAAGGGGTAGTAACCGTTACCTTGAAAATACCGGAAGTCCATTGGGTCCAATGTTCTTTCTAAAGAACATTCCTTCAACAGTTGTGTTCCTTCAACAGAATAGTTCCAATCGGATCCGATCCGGACTGAGACCGTCTCTAGTAGCGGCGGCGGCGGCCAGTGACTCCCGACCGCGGCCCAGTGCCCCTGGCCCGGCCCGCAGTCGGGAGTCACTGGCCCGGCCTATCCTGGAATCCGATGATCGGACCGTCTCAGTTCAGGCAGACGGCGCGGCCCGGCCGCCTCCGAGAGGGCCGGGCCGCCGCCCGGGCCTGGGCCGGGACTCGACTCGTGACTCACTGCCGACCCCGGCCGCCGCCAAGAACGGACTCCGCCGCCGGGCCCCCGGTGACTCGGAGACGGACCCCGGGACGGTCACCGGGCATCCCGGCGGAGTACGGTCCGATGATCATCCGGGCCGGGGACCGGCCACTCAGTCAGGAGTCCCGGCCCCCCCCCGGTCCCCCCCGGCCCGGTGAGGTGCCCGGCCCGGCCCCGGGCGCCGGGGCGGCCGGCACCCGAGAACTTTACTACCCGGCGTTTGAGTTTGACGGTAACTGTAAACGACAACCGGGGACCACTTCTTTACTCAAAGTTAAGTTAAAGATCAGTACGAGGACAATCAGGAGAGAGTAGTCAAGGCTTCTGGACAGTTCGTCCCGGCCAGATGGAAGATTCGAGTCGAGTCGGTGTCAGCCTCCCCCGGTCCACGTGACTCCTGTGAGAAAAGATATCACAAGCCGCTACAACTCAGTTGCAGATTGTGGCCATACGTTGCGAAATCACATTGTTTCAAATCTCTCGCAGCCTCCTCCCCTGGTCGAACGACTTCACTCTTTTCAACACCTCTGCCTCCTACACCTTGTTGAAACATCTTCGGAATACAGTAGATTCGTTCCAGCCAGTTGCGTCACTACTCCACAGCCATGCCTGCTCGCCAGAGTGACTTCGACGTCCTCGCTGTCTCCTCCTCCTCCTTCGACGACCTGGACCTCGTCTCTCTCCCTCATTCCATGTCGAGCTGCTCCTTGTCTTCATGCCAATCTGTGGATTCCGACACCACCGCGTCCTCGGAGTCGTCGGACGAGAGCCAAGAGTTCTATCTCACGTACACGAGGCCTCGGCAGCCGAAGACGGTGGAGGTAGCTACGGGAAGTGAGGCTGAAGGTATGGAACTATCGAGGGGGTGGCCGACACCCTCTAGGGAGAAGCAGCTGCGAGCGCTAGAGCACTGCATAGCGCTACTGAGCAGGCAAGATCGTCCTCGGATAACCAGTGCTGTTGGAACGATACTGGAAATGTGAGTGAAGGACAACGTGTAGATGTTGTAATCTATGTAGCATAATTGAAATTGGTGGATTAAAAGCCCATTTCATCAAACTGTTGCTAATTTTCTGTCGTCTCAAGGCAATGTTTGGATTGTGTTGAATGCAGGGACTGATTGACTGCATACATTTGATAATTTTGTCTTTCTTGAAACAGAGCTCTTGGAAGCGTAGTGCGAAGGGAATTCGCAGCAAATCATCTTTCAACGTGATTTATGTTGACTTTCTACTGTATGCGCTTATTGTTTAGGACGTTAGTATCCCTCCCTGCAATTATAAGCAGTGATCCAAAACGCCACTGTTTCTTACATTGATCTGTTCGAATGCATTCCTTGCAAGACAATCGCAGAATGTATGAGTCTTTACTATTCATTCGTTTCAATTATGCTACATAGATTACAACATCTACACGTTGTCCTTCACTCACATTTCCAGTATCGTTCCAACAGCACTGGTTATCCGAGGACGATCTTGCCTGCTCAGTAGCGCTATGCAGTGCTCTAGCGCTCGCAGCTGCTTCTCCCTAGAGGGTGTCGGCCACCCCCTCGATAGTTCCATACCTTCCGCCTCACTTCCCATAGCTACCTCCACCGTCTTCGGCTGCCGAGGCCTCGTGTACGTGAGATAGAACTCTTGGCTCTCGTCCGACGACTCCGAGGACGCGGTGGTGTCGGAATCCACAGATTGGCATGAAGACAAGGAGCAGCTCGACATGGAATGAGGAAGAGAGACGAGGTCCAGGTCGTCGAAGGAGGGGGAGGAGACAGCGAGAACGTCGAAGTCACTTTGGGCAGTCATTGCGCCAGCACTAGTAGAATCCTCCTAGAAGTTCTTGAGGGGTGGAGAAACAGGATCTAGCAGAGAACGGATGAGGAGCGGTGGCAGGAGAATCTTGGTGCCGCTGACAGGTCGAGGAGGAGAACAAGGGATCTCAAGGGGGTGAAAGAGGCAAAGGAGGCCAAAGAAATCACGAAAACGATTGATTTCGATGAAAGGAGGCTGCATTTTAAAATGATATAGACGTCCACTAGAACCTTCTCGACAAGCTTACAACCAATTCGGTCGGTGGCATGATGCGAGTTTTAACTTCAAGGGCCAAAATGACAGATGGTCAGTCGGCCGGGCGGCCGGCGGGCAAGTTGAAGGCCGGCCCGTTCAAACGGTTGCCGCCGTGCTGAGCGGCTGTGCCGGGTCGCCGGGGCCGAAGAGTGGCCCATGCCGGGTGCAAGTGACTCGCCCGCGGGTGCACTTGAAGTGACTCGCCCGCGGCCCCCCGGTCCGAGTGGTCACCGTCACGGCGTGCAACTGTTGAACCGTTGAACTTCCGTGACTCAGTGACTCGCCCGTTGACCGGCGGGCCCGGCGGAGCAACTTGGCAAGGCAAGTTTAAGTTACCGGGTCAGGGCCCGGACTCCGGACTCCCGCGGCGCCGCAGCGCATGACCGGGTCACTGGCAAGTTCCTAGCCCGGCCTGTCACTGTCACTGAACACTGGCCGCCGCGCGGCGCTTCAGTGCTTCCTCACTTGACTCTGACCCCTGCCAGACTCTTGCCGCTGAGTCGGACGGTCTCCGTTTACGGGGCCAAAGTCTTCAAGTTACGTTAGCCTCCGTAACATGCGGGGGACTCAGTCCCGGATGCACGCCGGTTCAGTGTCCGACGAGTCTGAACACGGAACGTGACGGCGGGCCCGGGGAGTGTTGAGGAGGACGGGGGGAGGTCAGTGGAGCACGGCAGCAGAGGCTGTACATCGATCTGGCTGGACCAAAGAGACAACATGGAGATATCAGCTGGAGCTTTCGAGGGACTAGTATCGGGGCTTCAGTACCTCTACCTTGACCAAAACCAGCTCAGGCTCAACCCTTCCAGCCGGTATCTTTGCCAACTTGGCAACCTGTCAAGGCTGGGCTACCTGGACCTTCATTACAACAACCTCTCTTCTCCCCCGAACGGCATCTTTGATAAATCAGCTCACGACTCTCCCGGCTAGCAGCTTCATCGCAATGTAAAATCTGCAGAGCCTGAGCCTTGAGGGAGACACATGATCCTGTAGATGATGGCTGGAGAGCATTTGGCAGCTGAGACCTATCGCTGTGGGAAGGGAAGGGGTTGTGATCGGCCTGCTGGTTTCTTAATGAGAGATCTCATGCGTTCCTGAGCTCTACGTCGGAAATTCCTCGGTGTTTGTCAGGGGAGCTCAATGCAGGATGCGCTCTCAGGTCTTGTGCACGCGATCATTGCATCCTGCCGTGGTTAAACCAGCATGCAACTTGCCAGTGGAATCGTCAAGGGCTTGCTAGGAACAGGCGACAACAGCGGAAAGCACATTTCTACAAGGAAATCAATCAGCTGTTTACTTCATTCATTGATCGTGTTTTTGTACATCACATTGGAATATGATCGTTGTTAGAGTGAGTTTAAAAGAATCATGACTGTGCCGTTTGTGTTACAACCTGAGCCATTCCCCCGTGGCCGTTTTTATCCTCGGCTTTTCTTCTCTTGAGAGCAAATGGATGGAATGTTGAAGGGCACTGAGCAGTTTGAGCTTGAAAGACGGCACAGCAGTGCTGCTAGCTCCTTCTTGCTGTGATGGTAGGTGAGACGGGAGGACGTCTTTGCATGCATCGGGGTCCGAAGTTGCAGGTCTGGTGGACAATCTCAGAGGCCTTCCGTCTCTGAGCAGCGCAGCTCCAGTCTGCCATGAGTGGTCGGCATGGTGCCCATTGAGCATGAGAGAGTTGTGTCCTTCCTCTGATACAGCATGCGCGTTGTCTGTCCTGACCATCGCCTCTTCGCTTCCCGTTCTCGTTTCCTCCTGTTCCGTATCATCGTGATAACGCTTCCCCTGGAAATGACCCACCCCCCTCACAGAAGCCATCAATCTTGTGCAATGAAGGCATCGATATTTTCTAAGTCTTTTCATAATAGAAATGGCGGTGCTCCTAACCCTTGCGTTGTTTTTTTCTACCCCACCCCCACGATCTTAAGACGTTCAACTGCCTCGTGATTTTACTCCGGGTAAGTAACGTGACTTTAACAATCAATTCATGACCGGCCTTATCCTCGTTTCTGCAGCTTCATCTGTTTCGAGCCCGCCTCACCATGTTTTCACGATCCAGCCTGCATGTGTCAGGCCCGGCTGATCGTTCTCTGTAGGGGGCGACATGGCAGGACTGGGGGTGGGGAGAGCGATCATTCCTTACAGCTGCAAGCAGGTGAGACGATGCCGTCTTTCAGAGAAATGCTCATTGAGATTATGCTTGAGGGTGTTTCAGCTGGTCTGTAACATGTGAAACAAGCAATAGGCTTGTGTTCATGGGCTTCCAGCCAGGCATCCCCTGAAGATCATATCAATCAATGCGTTCTGAACAAGAGAGAAAGATGACAAACATCCCTTTTCTACAGATTGATTTCTTTATTTGCGATACTATACAATATTGCACAACGAGAGAAAAAGCTCTTCTAATCAATAACTAATGCACAGAGACATAAATATGTGTGTACGCGGGTTCCTTCTTCGGATCACAATTGAATCAGCTCTCCTGTTGCCCCGTAAATCTCAGGTTTCTCTGGGCGCGTGAGCAACTCAATGCAATGCCGGAGAGCTCTGAGCTGCTTGTCTCTGCTTGGACACGGCAAAGCCACATCCCTGTCTTCATCCTGGGACTGCAAAAGCCTGTGCAGGTTCGCCATGGTCTGTCCACAAGACTCGTCGACAAGAGGGGAGTTGAGGTAGGAGGAGCACGATGAGGTCGTGTTGGACACAAAGGGAGCAGCCTCGAATTCGTCGACCAACTGGGAGTCAAGAGACAAGGGAGCAAAGTCGTCCTGCATGCTTTCTGGGGAAGGCGTACCGAGAAGGAATCTGGGTGTTCTTGTGAGAGGACTGATCCCTCAGGAGGTTGGTTCCAATCAGGAGGAGGAGATGAGGATGGTGGGAGAGTGTCTATCGCGAGGACGAGACTGGTGAAGCATCCCTAGATGTAGGGGATCAAGGGGCAATGCGAAGGGGGCGCCAAAGTGATGTCAGCCTTGCATCCTTTGAAACACGAAAACACGTTTTTTCGAGTTTTCAGATCTCCACTGTCTCCCTCCATGATACCATGATAGTTTACTTAACATCCCTCCAGTCATCATTTCGTGACCTTAAAAAGAAAGAAAACCCCCTTTGTCCCTAGTAAACTAGTCCAATAAGGTACCACCCTCCCCCTCCTAGGTCAAATGCGTACTCCAGACCCTGACCTACCGGTCCCGAGATTCACGCATCGAGCACGCTCAGACATGATGATTACCTTGACTCGCCCAACACGTTTTGCTTCCACCGATGCCAAACCGTGAAGGTGCCCGGCAACTTTGACTTGCCCTTTCAAGTAGAATGGCCACCAGTCGGAAGGGGTGGATATACTCATGCCGTCGGCATGTACTACAGCTTCCGCCCGGGCCGCGTTTGTTACCGACGGCCGCCACTCTCTGCCGGGTCATCAATGGCACGGGAGGCCGCTAAAATGTCTTTGCTCCAGGCTAGGGCCTTTTTCAACTGACGGTCACCCGCCGCCGGGTGGAAGAGTCTTCATCTCCCAACAAATCTCACGGATGAGCGAAGGTTTATATGTTTATCTAGGCAGGCTCCGACGGAGCACCGGCGTCACAGGCTGCCGCAGTTGCCGTGTACGATGCGCCTGCTGCCGGCCTCATCGCCGGGCGGGCCCCACGCTTGCCAGGTGGCTTTTACAGCGGCCGGTGCCAGGTTTACTCAAGGTTAAGCTAACTTTGAAATCCGAGCCTTTGAGTACGAGGACAATGATCATCAGGCCCGGCGTTGGGGGGGAGACTCGGCGGGCGGGGGGAGACCCGTCACTCGGACTCGGCCACCGGGCCTCCGAGGAGGCTTCACAGTGTCCGATCGCACAGGCTCGGTGGCAACGGAGCCTTGAAGGATGAAAATCCAACTGACGAGGACCGTAACGCTAGGCTATCACACTAGACTCTCCGTGAAGACCATTGGGCCTGGCTCCGGCGCCGTGCCCCGGGATCCGATGATCGGACTCGGAGTGACTCGGACCCGCCGGCGCATAACGGACTCCGCACACAAGCCTGTCGGACCTCAAACCTTCACTGAAGCACGGCAGCGCACATAAAATTGCTGGTATGCGACTGAGCCGGCAGATATAAACGATCGCTCAACCCCTTCAACTTCTTACAACGTCGAAAAAAAAATGAGAAAATTTCCAACTACATGTATTGCTACAATCAGTCTCGCGCATCCGATCAGATCACTGCATGAGCCTGTTAATCTTCTCCTGTCATCAAACAATCATGTCAGTTTTCTGCCCCTCTCGCCTCTCTGCTTCCGTTCCCCTGAATTCTCCCCAACGTCCTCACACAGACCCAATGAGGCCTTCTCTCCGTCTTCTTGTCCTCGTCCTCTTGTTTATGTTACCTGCTGGTCTGGCGGCAGGGAAGCGAAAGTTTGTTGCAACACTTCTGAAACTCCTGGAGTTGTTTGAAACCTACAGCAAAGCAAGGACAGTCACCCAGCAGCGATCCTTCCTCCTCCCTCCTTCCTCTCCTCTTCCTCTTCCTCACATTCTGAAGATCTTGCGAATCCGCTCTGTCACCTCCTCGTCAACCGTCTCCGTCTCCAGGATCGCAACCATGACCTGGATGACCTGCAGGGCGGATGAGCTGGCACGCATGCATGGAAGAATGAAGTACCTTTGGAAGCAGCGGCTGCAGAGCCGGCTCTCCTCGCTCCACCATGGAGCACAGCCTTCCATGTACCTGCATCACGGAGCATCAGCAGCGGGAGGGAGGGCAACGGGGATGTCGACCTGGACTCCCTCCTCCTTATCTCCCGTCACCGGTAGGTAGTGCACAAACTGGGTAATGGCCGCGTTCCTGTCCTCCATGTGCTGAGCTTGAAACTCGATCACCTTTGCTAGCGCGCTGACGGCATTGTCTGTGGCGTACACGTTGCTGTCCTCCCTCGCACTCGGGTGGTTCAGGTTGTCATACAGGCACTGCAGAACCTGAGCTGCATTCTGCCCGAACACGCTCCCTCCGTACTGTGCGCAGATGCCGAGCCCGTACACTGCCGCCTGCCTCACTTCCGAGTTCCTGTCCTTGCTGAACTGGACGAGGGCTGGTAGGAGTTGCGGCATGTACGTCCGCCCGTGCTCGCCGAGGTTCTCCAAGAGCTCGTCGAAGATGCAGATGCCGATGCGCTGGTGGGTGACGACGGGGGAGGACACGAGGGTGCCGAAGACCTCCACGTACTTGGTGAAGGCAGCGTGCACGGCCTCCGCATGATGCTTCGTGAGGGTCCCAATGTTGGAGGAGATGGACTCGAGGAGATCGTTGTCCCTGTCCGCCTCGAGCTCCTGGTTCTCAGCATCGTCGTCGTCAAAGTCCTCGTCCTTCCTCGCCTTCTTCCTCTTCTCGCATCTCTCAATCACTTCGTTCAGCACCGTGTGCATCGCCACCAGCACCTCCACCACCATCTCGGGCGACCCCAGGCAGCCGTCGCCCCCGAACGTCATCGACTCGTTGAGCGATTCCATCATGGCGAGTTGGACGTCGGGCTCGGGCTCCTCCTTGATCATGGCCACGAGCTTCTGGAACACCATGTCGCTCAGCCCCTTGACAAACGTCTGGTTGCAGAGCCCGTTCCTCATGCTCGAGATCGCGCAGTCGATCAGCTCCGGCATGAGGGAGGCCGCGGCCGTCCGGACTTCTTCCGAGTAGATGAAGGCGAGGAGGGGGACCATGAGTCGAGCCACCTGCTCGAGGAAGGGGAACATCCCTTCCTTCAGCTCCGCGAAGTAGCAGACGAGCATGTTGCATGCAGTCGACTTCTCCTCCAGCGCCGCTGTCTTGAGCGCGACCTTCTTCGCTCCCTCCTCCGTCTGCACCACGACGGTCGTGATGCCCTCCTCCTCCTCCTCCTCCTCCTCAGCATCGTCCAGAACCTGATCGTCGGCTTTGATGCCCGCGGAGTTGAGCAGCGGGGGCATGACAACACTGAGGTACGGGATGAAATCGTGCTTGAGAGCCTTGGCTAGCCTTCCCCACACCTGCAGGAGGTAGGAGATCTGCGGGTCGTCCGGGTCCAGCGCTGCCGTCTGGGTGTTGAGGAACTGATCGATGACTTCCTTGGCGTCAGCGATGAAAACTTCCTTGCCGACGGCGATGCCGATGAGGGAGATACACTCCATCGCCTTCCCTCGCAGCATTCGCTGCTCCTTGTGCACGCAGTTGCGCAGGATGTCCTTGAGCACCGGCATGATCCCCCCGTAGAAGGGCTTGAACTGCTCCTGCACGCAGTCTGCCACGGAGGCGATAGCGGTGATCGCCTGCTCCTGCACGATCCTGACTCCGCCCATAAGCAAGTGGAGGAGCTTGCCCAGCAGGCCCTCGAGGTACGGCTGGACTGTGTCCTTCTTGCAGTCCTCAGTGAAGTTGATCACCGCGGCCGCCGCGTGCGACTGGACCCGCGGGTTTGCGTTGTCGTCCATGACGGTGATAAGGGCCGGAAGCACAACAGCATGGTACCGCTCCTGCAAGTCCGGGCCGAGGTCAGTCTCAAGCTGGCCCATGGCGTTGATCGCCGCCCAGCGGACTCGGGGATGAGCGTCGGAGAAGCACTGAGCGGTCTGCATGACGATGCTCTCCAGGTGCTGCTTCATCTGCTTCTGACAGCCCTCGGCAATCTGCGCGATGCAGGTGAGGGCCGCGTGCCTGTACTTCCAGTCCTGGTGAGTCATGAAGGAGGGAAGGAGATCCTGCCGGAAGGCTAGGCCGAAGACAGTCTTGCCGCCGAGCGAGAGCGCAAGGCGGTCGAGCGCGTCCTTGCCCACGTCAAGGGAAGTCAGCTCAGTGTCGTCGTCGTCGTCCGTGGTCGAATTCCAGGCGTGCATGTCAACTTCCTCCACAGTGAGCATGAGCTGCAGTGCAAGGGGGACCATGTTGTCAAGAAAAATCTTCTGTTTCCTCATCATTGCAGGTGCCTGCTCTGCCAGCGTCACCAGGAGCTCCACTGCAAGGAATCGCGTGTCCTCCTCCAGGTTGTTGGCCGTGGCGATCTGAAACGCCAGCTGGATCAGAGAGTCGAGGTGCCTCCTGAAGAACTTCGGCGCCTCCTCTGCCATGGTGATGAACTCTTCAAGTGCAATCCTTGCCGAGTCCTGATCGTTCTCGTTCAACAGGCCAGTCAGCACCTGGCACATGGTCGGGATCACTTCCTGGAAGTCAGAGACTTGCTCTTCGTAGGAGGAGAAGGCCTGCACTATGCTCCCAGTGGCGCTGAGGGCAGCTAGACGAACGTCCTTGCTCTCGGGGTCCTGCAGGGTCTGAGCGCAGAGCATCTTTACGTGGTTCACATTCTGCTGGAGAGCGTCACTGGCAGAGAAGGCAAGACGGGTAAGGATCAGCATGGCGGACTCGCGCAGGTGAGCTGCTGGGTTCTTTGCGCTTTCAAAGAGGAACGGGAACAGCTCGGGCCAGGATTCAGTCTCGGACTCAAAGATCATGGCGGCGACCTCCCCCGTAGTGTCCGCCAGCTTCTTCCTGTTAGAAGCCGAGGGTTCATGCTGCACGCAGTGGATGAGGGTGTGCTTCACGCCCGCCTGCGCAGATGGTGAGGTAGGAAGGAAGGAGTCGAAGGGGAGCGGAGGAGGAAACGGGAGTAAAACACCGAGGAGGAGGGAAGAGACAGGAGAGGTGGCAAGGGAAGAGCAGAGGAGATATGGGGGATGGAGATGTAGAGACCTTGGTCTCAGGGCTGAGCTGCTGGAAGAACTGTTCTGTGACACGCTTGCGGAACATGATGATGGTCAGGCTTCGTACCATCTCATCCTCGGACTGCCAGCCTGTCATGCACTGGGGGGGAGGGGAGTCACGTACCATCTGCATCGTGCTGCAGAGCAGAGGCGCCGCTCGCTCTGGCTGAGCGCACAGCTGCTCGAAGCTCGCTTCTGATATCTTTCTGGCCTCGTTGGAGGGGTCCATAAGCCCCCTGTGTGAGGAGTCGTGAGGGAGGGAAGGAGGACGAGAAAGGCCAAAGACCTGATGAGCTGCTCGAACTGCGCTCGGTCATCCATCGTTCCTCTCCCTGCCTGTCAATCGCGTTCAGAAAGAATCCCGTCCTGATCAGCAGCAAGAGGGCGGGGATGGCCAGAACTTGCAAGTGCATGCGGAGAGATGATGGAGGCTAAAGCTGAGCATAGAAGGCGAAAGCAGTTGAAAGTGTAGGGATCAGCAAAATGTGATGCAAGCGATGGTTCGAGCAAGTAAAACTACCGACTGCGACCCTCTCGGGCGGGGTGTTCAATAAGAAATGGCTGATTGCAATCGAATGCCGGCGGCAGGGGATGCAGCAAGGAGGATGCACTAGAAAGCGGATCGGAGGTGAACTAGAGCAGGTGGTTGAGAGATATTATTGCCAAGGAGCGGGGGGAGGGAGCGGTGCAGCTGGAAAGGAAGGAGGAGAGGAGGAGGAGGAGGAGGAGCGTCAGCAGCCTCTGCATGCGGCGCCGGGGTTCACGTGCCCTCCGGGCGGGAAGCAGAACTAGCGAAGTATTACTCAACTAGCCTAACAAGATTTTAGTTACATAGAAATAATTATAGTGACTAAAGTTTATCAATATAAAAGAAATTTTTGTCAACTCTGTACATTGGACATGTCAAAGTTGAGTGAAGTTAACGGTACTACTAGGGTTCGAGTGGCACCCGCCGTTGCCAGAGCCGGCGGGCCGGCCGGCCGGCGTGTGGACCCACCGGTCATCTCATCTGGAAAATGGGAGGTAGGGTACTAAAGGAGGGGTGATTTGAACTTTTTTCACCATACCAGACCACCGGTCCTATTGCCTTAGTACCCTACCCTTTGGCCTACATCTACCCTACCCTGAGCAATATACCCCACCCACCATCATCCAGACGTCGCCCAAGGCAACCATGGCTGACCACCCACCCCTGAGAAACAAAAACATTTCTAATTACCCGGTATAAAGTCTGTCAGGCCTGGGAAATGAGGGGGTGAATAGACCCAAGGAGCGGACAGAGGGGGTGGGGGTACTGCCCCTTGTCGAAACTCCCTTGGGTACCTGCGGCCATGGCGAACACAACTTGTTCGAGATGGTTGCGGGCCATGAACCGCCTGCGAATGATTGGATTGGGCTGATCATACGATGATTTTCAATACAAGACACATTTCATGATGTTTTGTTGTGAGCACGATAAAAGTTCTGTGTGCAGCAGGATATTTCTTTGTGTCCTCCTCGTAAACATGTATGATTCGATGCCATCCCGTCCAGCCAAGTGTTCCTTTCGATCTTTCCGTCCACATCCCTGCTGACTGATTGCATACCAATGATTGATTGTGCTCTGACCGATAACTCTGTCTATCGCGATGCTGCCTATGCTGTTTGCTGGTCAAGAGACGCTCCGAAAGAATGATTGTTCGTCTGACTTTTTCCCCAGAACAGTCTGCCATCGGTGCATGAGATTTGATTGTCACCGTGCATAGACCAGATCTCTTCTTGAGGGTAGACAACTGGAGACATCATGATCAGGAGTGCTCGGACAATCGTCAGCAGCGTCTTAGTCGTACAGGCCTTGGTGTATCCGGCAGACTTCGCAGAGGCCTTTCAAACCGGCTCCTTCCTTGCGGCAAAGAGACCTCTCCCTCTTCCAGCTCGATCACTTTTCGAGAGGAACCTGCACAGTGTCAAGCATGCAACGAGCTTGAGGAGGCCATGCGCGGTCCAGCTCACGTCCCAAGTCGACCTCCTGCCAGCTGTCGCTCCGGCCCTTCAGGCCGTCCTCGGAGGCGTTTCAAGGTATCTGCTCCCTCCTACATCTGCTCCCTCCTACAGGCGCATGTGCTGACTCGCCATGGCAGCTTGTCTGGGGCAGCCGTTCTCTGTGGTGTCGTTGCCTTCCATGAGGCAGGGCACTTCCTTGCAGCTAAGGTTCAGGGTATCAAGATCAATGACTTCTGCATCGGGTTTGGTCCCAAGGTGTTTGGGTTCAAGGTATGCATGCTTCTTGCTGCTCTTGCTTCTCCTGCTGCTGCAGCTGCCGCTGCTTTTCTTGCCGCTTGCCCTCATTCGTTTGTAATCACCCCTCCTCTCTCCTAACCTCCCTCATCTTCGTGTTGCTCATGCCTGTGCCTTGCAGGACCGGGACGGCGTCGAGTACTCCCTCCGGCTCCTGCCGCTCGGAGGATACGTCTCCTTCCCCGAGGCCCAACCCGTCTCGAGCGAGATGGAGGGACCGGGATCGCGATCAGACGACGAGAAGGCAGAGGAAGAGGACGGGAGGCCAGCTGTAAAGTACGACATCGATGACCCTGACCTGATTCAAAATCGTCCTGCCCTCCAGCGAGCGTTCGTGATCTCAGCCGGCGTCCTGTTCAACATGCTCCTGGCATGGGGAGCGATCTTCGGCTCAGTGACGTCCAACGGAGTCGCGATCCCTGTGCTGGACCGAGGGGTTGTGGTGTCGTCGTTGGTGGACGGGAAGGGAGCAGGAGCGAGGTACGGCATGAAACCCGGAGACATCATAGTGGAGATTGACGGCAAAGACATCGGAAAGAGCGAGAAGGCCGTGGCGGAGCTGGTGCAGGCAGTCAAGAAGAGCAGCGGCAGAAGCATGAAGTTCGTTGTGAAGAGGGCGGAGGGGCTGGTGCCACTGGACGTCACGCCCGACAGGGTCAGGAGCGGAGATGGTGTGATCGGAGTCAAGCTCGGGCCCAACGTGATCGTCAGCAGCAACGCAAAGCCCAAGGGTGTTGCGGAGGCCGTGGTGATGACGAACCAACAGTTTGTAACCCTCACGTCGGAGACTTTCTTTGGGTTCGGAAAGCTCTTCACGCACTTCAAGGATAGTGTGGGTGAGTTGAACCAATCTTGCTCTCCATCTTTATCTTCGTTTTTCTCTGTTTCCTTCCTCCCTCCCTCCCTCCCTCTCACTCACTTTCCTTCTGCCTTCCTGCCTTGCATTGTGCCCCACTTCCTGCTTTTCTTTCTGCCTTTCATCCTCAGTCGCTCTTTCTGTCCGTCCTGTCATATCATGATTGTTCTTTGTTGTTGAATGTAGCCTTTTCCCCTCGTCCCCTCCTTCTGTCTGTTGTTGTTCACCTTCCACTCCAGGCAATCTGGCAGGTCCAGTTGGCGTGATGCAGATGGGAGCGGAAGCAGGCAAACAGGTGAGAAGGGCAACCTGAAATTGAGAGCTCGAGAAGGGAGGAGAGGGTAGGGGAGAAGGGGGTGGAGAGAGTCACGGTACGAGACGATGAGAGGAGGGAGGCACTTCGTGGCAAGATGGGAAGAAAACCAATGAACTAGGGCAACGGCCATGGTAAAGAAACGGAAATTGCCACTAGAGAAGTAGAAGGGTTGACGATTGAAAGAGGAGCAGGAGCAGGAACAGGAACAGAGTTAGGAGCAGGAGCAGGAACAGGAACAGAGTTGGGAGCAGGAGCAGGAGCAGGAGAGGGGCAGGGGCAGGAGCAGTAAGGAGTCGATCAACTGCCGGTCGAGGGCTGAGACAAAGGGCAGGGAACCATCCTTGCCTTCATCGCCCTCATCTCCATCAACTTGGGCATCATGAACGCCCTTCCCATCCCTGCGCTGGACGGAGGGCAACTGGTGATGGTGAGAGATTAGATATGTCAAGCTCAATGTGCCAACACGCTCCCTTGCCCCTTTCCCTTCCTCTGCCCCTTCCCCTCCCAACACTCCTATCGTTTCTCTTCCGCCTCTGCCTCCTGCTCTTCCTTCTCCTTTCTTCTCCTCCTCCTCCTCCATCTTGTTTCCTGGTTGTCTCTGTGCGATCTGCTGCTCGCAGTCTGATCTTCTCCTCCTCAGGTTCTGGTGGAGGCCATTCGTCGTCGCCCCCTCAACTCGGAAGTGACGCGGACAGTGAACGGCGCTTTCCTGGCGATTCTTCTCGGTGAGAGCAGGAGGATCAAGAACAGGACGAGGAAGAGTGAGAGGAGGGGAAGGGGTGGAGAAAGGGGGGGTGGAGGGGAAGGGAGGAGGAGGAGGAGGAGGAGGAGGAGGAGATGGAGGACGCGTCATTCCGAAGCATGCGAGAGGAGGTGGAAGGGAATGTGGCGTCTCGTTTGACAAGCGCTTGCTACAGGGGCATCTCTGACCCTTCTCGTCGGGGACCTTGAAAGATTAATACCAGCAAGCTTGAAATGAATGATCTCTTCAAGTCTTACCCCCTCCCCCCCCCCCCCCCGCTACCTTCCATCGATCTTGTATGGTCGTCACTGTAAACTTCCTTGCTCTTCATCCTCCACTCTCCATCATTCCACACGTCAAGTTCTCATCAACATCTGTCCTGCTGTTGTTTTCATCAAAGTACATGCCGGGCATCAACATTTCAACCACAACTCTTGTCCACTCAACTCGTGTGTACGGCTTATCTACACCATAGTTTCTATCAGCATCGTCCGTTCCAAGCCGATGGCTTGTTTCTACCACCAGCTTCTCCTTCCCTTTCACGCTCTCCTCTCCTCCATTCGTCTCACAACTCCAAGGTGAAGGAGGAGCACGGCGAAGAAACATCTGCATCAGAGTAAGCATCCATCCTTTCCACCTCCTCTCTCTCTTCCTCCCCCTCCCTATTCCTCTTCCTCCCTGGTTCTTCACAATCTCACTTCTCCCTTCACCCCCTCTTCTCCTCTTCCCCTTTCCCCTGTTCCCCCTTTCCCTCTGTCCCGCCTCTTCCTCCTCCCTCCCATCGTTTCCTCCCCTCCCATCACTTTGACACATCGTTGTTGAACTGAAGTTGGTTCACTTCCATAGTCCTGCTCCACTCCAGTCAGAACCCCTCACGTCGGCTCTTCCCAGCTCTTGATCATCCAACCTCAACCCCCTGCACACCCTCCTGCCACTTTCCGACTCGAGCCCCCATTGTTCCTTCGTCCTCCTCCTTGAAACTACCTCTACTCCCCCTCCCCCTCCCTCCTCCTACTCCTTGCTCTCTCCCACCCCCTCCCCCTCCTCCTCCTGATCCTCATTCTGTCCTCCTCCCCATCCTCTCCATCGCTCCTCGCCACTCACCCGCTCCTGAAGCAGCTCGAGAGCGAGTCCAGCCAGTGCGGGCGGACGCGCCATACCATCTCCCTGCCCTGATACAAGTCACAGGATATGAGAAGCAGAGCGAGAGCTGGCAGAGAGCAGATGGAACAGACAGGAAGAAATTTTCAGGACGAAGGGATCGAAGACTTGGGAGGATACATCACGGGTTGAACCAATGCAGAGACGGATGAAGGAAAGAGCGGAGGGAGGCAACAAGAGAAAAACCAAGAACGAAAGAGCGCGGAAAGAGTGTAGGAGCGTCCGAGAGAAAGGAAGAAAACGAAAGAGGGGAAGGGAAACCGGAGGAGGGAGGGCTGCAGAGAGGAGGAGAGAAAGTGATAACGTACCTGGCTGTCCTCAAAGAGTACAGTGACCCAGGGGTTCGACTGCCGGCTGTCCGTGCTCGTTGACTCTCTTCCTCCTTCCTCCTCGGCTCCAGCGCCGTCAGGGGAGAGGATGCAATACTTGATGCCTGCAGGAATGAGGTCTGAGGAAGAGAAAAAAGGTGTGGAGACCCGAAGAGGAAGGGACAGGGACAGAGACAGCGACATGGACAGGGACAGGGACAGGGACAGGGAGTTCTGAGCGACCTTGGATGAAATATATCTTGGAAGAGAGTTTGAGCCCTTGATGGCAACGGAGGGGAGTGCCGATTCTGCGTGGAGTAGTCAAAGAGGAACAAGAGGATGGGAAGACGAGGAAAGGGGAGAAGACAAACACAAACACAAACGAAATGAAAAAGGAAGAACAAAGATAGAAACATGAAGTGAGGAAACAACAACAAAAGAGCGAGAGGTCGGAGAAGGAGTAAAGGAAAGAAAGAAGTGGCAGCGGAAATAGAGGGGGAGGTCTGCAATAGCGGGAGAAGCAGAGTCGGTCTACCTTCCAGCTGGAGTTATCGCAGCTCGCTGACGCATGTTGTGTTTTTCTATCTTCTTCAGACAAAAATGTCAGGGCAGATAAGCGAAAAATGCAAAGGAAGACGAGGGATGAGCGAGAGGTATGGAAAGAGTGACAAGCAAAGGAGGAGGAGGAGGAAGAGAAGGAGGAGGAAGAGAAGGAGGAGGAAGAGAAGGAGGAGGAGGAGGAGGAGGAGGAGGAGGGGGGGGTAGGGGGGGGGAAGATCATTGAACGGGGGGAACGGTAGTCTTTACGTTCTTGAAAACTTTTAGAACATCCTCGGTGAAATGTCCTGGGGGGGGAAATAAAAAACAAAAACTCTGATGCTGAAGAAATCAGTACTCC